AGCCCTACGCCCTAAGCCCTAAGCCCAAAGCCCTAAGCCCTAAGCCCTAAGCCCTAAGCCCTAAGCCCTAAACCCTGAGTAGCTTAAAGAGCCTTCCTGGACGCAGCTGTGCCCGCAGACGGCGGTGAAGGGCCCGGGCGAGCCAGCCAGCCGTCCTGGGGCAAGTTTAGGGTTTAGGGTGTGCCTACAGTAAAAAGCCCTAGGCCCTAAACCCCAGCCTCTGAAAATAAGCTCCCGACCACTCCCCGCCATGTCCGTCAAAGAGGCCGAGGTAGCCGGCCTCCAGCAAGACCCTGATCTTCCAAGATCCCTTCCCTTCATGAAGGAAGAGACTGTAATATGCCTAGGGTTTAAGGCTTAGGGTTTAGGGCTTAGGGTCTATATAAGATGCCTTATAAGTGGTAGGATCCCTCATATTGATTTAGAGGAGCACTCAGGAGTCTTCCTATCTTGAAGGTTAAATTGGAATGTTTGGCGGGATGTCAAGGTTCCAAAATTGCCCCAAACTGGTTTCAAAGTGGTCTCGCTTCAAAAGCACCAAACTGGTTTCACAGTCGTCTCTGAAAGGTTCTCTCGCAAGTGCCGATGTTGGGGCTGCTCGTGCTCATTTCATGGGTCGAGTCGTTACCCTAAACCCCAAAACCCTAAACCCCTAAACCCTAAACCCCTACTGTGGCTCTGGGTTGAGGGATCGGAGGGTTCTGGCGTTTGGCTTCACAGCGGTAGGGTGCAGGGATTGGGGCCTAAACTAATGTAGGGGCCTTACTAACTAGAATAGGTTTTGGGGTATATTATACTACACTTGCAATAAGAGCCACCAAAATACTACTTAGAGGTAACTACTACTTTAAGGCCCCTACATTACAACCCTGCAACATGAACCCCTTCAGCCAAGGCCTGAAAAAACCTGACACATGCGTTGTCGGAATCTCCTGTAGGGTGTTGTTACCCGACATGGATAAGAAGCCCAAATGCAAATAAGGTAGCTTGTAGGGCTTAGGGCCTAGGGTTTGGGATTTAAGGTGTAAGCCCCTGGATCCCCGAGCCGCCCCGGCGCGGAACCAGACCTGAACAAAAACCCAGGGTTGAGGGGCTTCGGGGGTTTAAGGGTTAGGGTTTAGGGTTTAGGGTTTAGGGTTTAGGGTTTAGGGTTTAGGGTTTAGGGTTTAGGGTTTAGGGTTTGGGATATCCTGGAACTTGCGGGATAAGGGCTGACTTACGATGTGTAAAGCAAAAGTTTCTGATTCCAACTCTGTGGCTGCATCAAAACTCGCAGGCCTGGCCTGACCCCCATCACACGCGCCAGAGACATTGCGAACGGAATGTCGATCCTGGCAAGGTCTGGGCGGGGGGCTTCCTAGTCGAAGTAGTGGTACCTTGTCCCAAGGGTCCATGTATAGGATGTACTTTGGCCCCAAAGTACCTCAACTCCGACAACTTAAAGCCATGGTGTATACTATTTGGGTACAAGCCACAGAACTAAAAGGTTCAACAACATTACTGCTAGGCTATGAGAATCCAAACAGTTTAAAGATGCTTACAGGCTGGGTACTGGAGAAGTAAAATACTATACACGGGCTTTGGACTGTGAAGATCCGAAATCCTCAGCTGACATTGCTCAGATCTTCCTATATCCCGTAATCAAGGAATGTAATTACACCTCAAGCATGATAGCATCCATGATGTAAGGACGGTTCCTAACTATGGTATCTTGAAAGAGCCGGGTGCCTGGAGACTCACGAAGGAATCGGTGAATGTTTGGGGCTTAAGGCTTAGGGCCTCGGGTTCCTAGTGGGGAAAGGCCCGAGACTCCAAAGCGGTATGGGGTTTAGGGTTCAGGAACACCGAACTCAAAACGCGCGGTTTTTATACCTGCACCCTAAAATCCCACAGCCGAAACTTCTGGTGTTAGAGAGCGATCAACTCTTAGTTTGTCTAGTCCAGTCGTCTAGTCGAGCCTATCACCTCCTATCCTGAACCCTGGTCCTGCCACCCTTCAGCCTTATTCCTCAAGTCCATGGTCCAGAAATCGATACCCTAAACCCTATAATTTGGGACCCTATGTACTGCTAAAGAACACTGTATAGGAATCCCCACTTAAGGGATCTACTTTTTGGAATCTTACACTTTTTGGCATCCCAGAAACGACTGCTTCGGTCTAAGGGTTCAGGGCTCAGGGCTCCAGTGCTTTGCTTCCTGTCTTAGCTAAAGTCTTCGACATGAGGTATCTTCGAGCTGTTTACCGCTTTTAGAAAACTGGAGCATTGTTGATGCATGTTCAGACAGGTTAGGGGCTGCAACCTGAACCCCTAAGCCCACAAAAAACGCCCTAGGTTTAGGGTTTAGGGTTTACAAACCCAACTAGGTTCTAGATCCCTCCGTTCACGGACCCTTCAACTCCCAAACGAACCCGACACTCCGCTTGTGTATGGGTAGTTCTCTAAATTGGGGTCCTCCATGGCCCGCCGTCGCCCGATGTCCTCGAAGACAGCGACGTGGCTTTCCAGGCCTGGGGCACGTGGTTTTTGGTGCAGCTTTGGCTGCATAAATCAACCCCAAGCCCTAAACCCTAAACCCTAAACCCTAAACCCTACACCCTAAACCCCAAGCCCTAAACCCTAAACCCTAAGCTTTAAGTGGAGGTCCTCTGGGCTTTCATGGCTTTGGGGTACAATCAGGGTTTAGAAGGACGGCTTAGGGCTTAGGGCTTTTGGGGGGGCCGTTAAATGGAACCTTGTAAAAGGAACCGCAGTCTGATGATCAAGGCCTGTAATGTAGGGGCCTGAATAATTCGAATGGGGTTTGGTGGTATATTATAGTATAACTATAATCACCAAAATAGTACAGGTAATTATTAAGGCCCCTCTATCGTGCCTATAATTATAATAAGGAACCCCAGGAACGCCCCCCCAAAAAGTATAGGTAATTATTAAGGCCCCTATACTATGCCAATTCCGGGAAAGATCCCGGCCTGGGCAGCTGGACACGATGGCGTACTCCCCGGATTCGTCTGCGACCTCCTCTCCTGGTTTCGGGGTTCAGGGTTTCAGGGTTTTGGGTTTAAGGCTTTCTTTTCAGCATTTAGGGTTTAGGGTTTAGGGTTTTCAGGACTTCACCCTAAACCCTAAAACCCTAAACCCTAATTTGGCTGTTCCGGGTTTTCGAGTTTGGGGTTTTAAGGCTAGGGCTGAGGCGTTTGGGGCGTGGTGGGTGCTGCTGCGGATCAAACAGCAATGGCCGCAACTAGCTCTAGTTCTACTCTTGCAGCTGCTAGAGGTGCTAGTTTTACAAGCTTCAGAACTTGAACCTTTTATCCCTGAACCCGAAACCCCTGAGCCCTAATCCCTCAACCCCAACCTACTAGACCCTAAGTCTAAGCTTTAACTACACCCTAAACCCTAAACGCTGAATCCTCGACTTAACCCTGAGTCCCACAGAAGCCTAAGCGACTTCCAAAGATAGCTCTCAAGGTTTCCTTAGTGTTTTACGGCTTAAGGTTTTGAGTTTAGGGTTTAGGGTTTTCAATGTAGTTATACTGTACTCTGATGTATCCCGAAACCCTATTCTAATTCTCAAGGCCCTTGTATGTTCCAACCCTGAGAACCCGCCAAGGGACTGTGCTGTAATTGTCCGATCGCTTTACCCAGAGAGTTCTATGTCTACTGTTATGGGGGATACGTCCCTCCATCACAATAGCAATTCCCGATGTAAAGGAAACCCTACACTGTACTATATAAGTACATAGTAACCCCTGGGCCCAAAACCCTCAACCCCTAAACCCTAAACCCTAAACCCTCAACCCTAAACCCTCAACCCTAACACCTGAGTCCAAAACCCTGAACCCTCCCTGAACCTAAAACCCTAAACCCTGAACCCTGAACCCTAAACGGTCTTAACGGTCGTAACGGTTCGTCCCCGAGTTCCTTCATCACCCTCTTCCCAGTCGGCGAAGACGTCGTCCTGCGGAGCAAAACTTGGGTTTAGTGTTTTGGGTTTTTGGTTGCCTTTGGGTTGAGGGTTTAGGGCTTAAGGCTTTTAGGGTTTGGAGTTTAGGGTGTTTAGGGTTTAATTATAGGGTCTAGGGGCAAGGAAACCAAGCAAACTGCAGAAACCAAAAGCTCCGCAATTGACGAGCAAAACCCTTCGGGGCTTAAACAAGTGTTGCTGGAGCTTTTGTGTTGGGTGTTGCGTGGATTCTGCAAGGAATACACTTCGAATATCCTTAAATCATAGTTGAGGAGGTTTAGGCTCAGTGCTTGATTTTGGTGGAGTCTCTCGGCTTTGACATGATGAGAATTTCGACAAGTCGTTCTAGCAACCTTCACATTTGGGAACCTAGCTGAGGCTTGGCTTATGACACTGTCGGAATGGACACAACAGAAAGGCCCGAACAGAAACACAAGGGCTTGACGTGGCATTGCACTATAAATACGACTAGGAAACGGATTGGAATGCTCTTACTAACCTTAAATAAAGACGAAATGAACCCCAAAAAAGAGATCCGAGGTTCATCTACCATATAAAGGTTCATAGTAAAAAGAGATAGGGCCCCTGATTTAAAGGGCCTTTTGGTCCTTTAGGCAAATATGAAAGTGTCTTGTTGAGCATATCCTAAACCCTAAACCCTAAACCCTAAACCCTAAACCCTAAACCCTAAACCCTAAACCCAAACCCCTCTGGAACCTCGGAAGCTCCTCTCAAGAAACCCCAGCTCGAATCCCTTAGAAAAACACAATAAGGGCCTTCAACACCCCAAGAAAACCTCTTGGTTTAGAGTTTAGGGTTTAGGGTTTAGGGTTCAGGGTACAAATAAACAAGCTTTGTCTTGATCATTCTGGAAGAAACTGGAGCGCTTTACCCACATCTATGGTTCAACAGCTCATAAAATGATGTTTCTTGGGCTTTGGCTGTGGCTCAAGGCTTTTATGGTTTACGTAGAGTTCCTGGGACGAGTCCTTGCCAGCAACTACTAGACCGAAAAGCTAACTTCAAACGGCCTAATTATCCAACCCAGCCTGACCGGAATCCGGCCAACCAAAACACTTCATATTGAAGCCTAAACCCCCGTTCTCAAAGCCCCAAAACGTAAAAGACTCATGCTGCGGAAACCCTACTAAACTCAACCCCCTAAACCCTAAAACCCGAAACCCAAGCCCCCCCTATATAAACCCTTAAACACCTGGAGCCATAGCCTTACAAGCTGCATCGTGCATGTTGGCCTCCTCGGTATCGAGATTCGGCGAGTCGGTCTCCTCCTCTTCCTTGGAAGCTCCCTGACCTCGAAACCGTCGAAGGCCATGGGTCCCTCATAAGGTTCCTTTTAGGGACCTATAGGTGTGCTGTAAGGGCTTCGGGTTGTTGTAGGGTTTAGTGGGTTTGGGTGTGGAGTTTAAAGATTTTGGGGCTTAAAAAAGGTTCTAAGGTCTTGTGTTTTATGCTTTTTAGGGTGTAGGCATTTATAGGGCTTAGGGTGTTCGGTTCAGGGTCCATGAGCTTTCGAAAAAGATTCCATGAGGGCTCTACTTTTGCTAAGGCTGTAGGAAGGCTCCAGCTCTCGTGACCTAGCTTCCACCCCAGCCAACCCACAAACATAAAGTGAGTACCCTTTGCAAGTCCTATGTACTGATGTATAGGAGCCTTAACAAGTAGAGTAGGGCGTTGGATAAGTATATGAAGAAAGGCTACCGAACAAATTAACTACTGATTCAGGGTTCTATAATCTTCAAGTTTCTCCCTTGCCTATCTCGCAGATTAACGGGTACTCCCTGGGAATCTAGGCATGGGGCCTCAAGGGTTGGAGTGCTAGTTTTGATCTTACGCATATCCGGGTTTAGGGCTTTAGAGATTCAGGGCTCAAGGCTGAGATTTTAGGATTTGAAGGTTTCAAGAGAAAGGCTCCAAGGTTGATGTTCTAATTTAGGTTCCCTTTTAGAATCCTTTTTATAAGGCTGCCATACCAACTTGGCGACCTAAGAAGGGACCCCAGTTTAGAGAACTACGGAATAAGGAGTAGACTAACATTCCCATAGTTTAAGGTGGTTGAGGAAATCATGGGATCACGACTTAGATCCCCTGAACTCGCCCCAGATCAGCCTTCAACCCGAGACTCTGGTCTAAGGTTGGAAGTATGGGCCCCTAGCGTTCATGATATAAATCCTGCATTACCTTAAGGGCCCTAAACTATGGGAATGATGGTATATTCCTTATTATGTGCAATGCAGGGTTTATATCATCAACCGTCACATGGAACCTTAGGCCTTTCTAGGGACCCTTCAGTCCTTCAGGGTTTAGGGTTTAGGGTTTAGGGTTTAGGGTTTAGGGTTTAGGGTTTAGGTTAAGGTATGTAGTAGGTGTAGAAGGCAAGGGTGAAGGGCCCATACTAGGGGCCCATGGTTTCAACCTTGGATCTAGGCCCATCCGCAAACCTGGTTACATACTAACCCTGAACTTCAAACCGGGTTTAGGGTTTGGGGTTCAGGGTTTCGGGTTCCTAAACACCAATCCCCACACCCCAAAACCCCAACCATAACCCTGAAACCCTGAAGCCTAAACCCTAAACCCTATACCCCTAAACCCTAAACTCGGACTTTTGAATCCTTACCACGTACCCTCAACCCTAAACGGCCTGCATCCGTTTCCTCTGCTGACTCTTCCTCCCAAAGCGCCTCCTCGTCAGGTCCGCAGTTTCGTGTTTGGCGAAATATTTCAAGGGGGGTTTGGGACTTGGGGTCAGGGTCAGGGTCAGAGGTTCTATATAGGGCCATATAGGGTTGAGGGGTCTCCTAAACCCCCAAACCCTGCACCCCTACACCCTTATGAACCTACAACTTCACCAGGAAATCGAACGCTTCCCCTGGGGTAGCGGCGGGCCGGGCGACAGCTGAAATCCCGGGACCGCCCCAAACCAGTCCTGAGCACCACTGCCATGTGGGTACTTCTCTAAATTAGGGTCCCTTTTTTGGGTCCCCAATACAGTACGGCACCCTGAAAAAATGACCCCAAAAGGGACCCTGTTTTAGAGAACTACCAGAATCCAGCAATCCGCAAACGGCGTTTCGGGTTTAGGGTTGGGGGTCTGTAGGATTTAAGGGTTTAGGGTTTAAGGGATTAGGGTTTATGGTTTAAGGGTAGCTGCTAATTCGCTACCGGTCACCCTTCCCAAGGCTTCCTTGATGTATTTCTACTACACTCTACATTACCCCAAAAGTCGCAGTTCGAAATTTTTACGGCCCTCATATATCATTGAGACTTCTGAATATTCTATAATCCTACTTTCGCCGGTACTAGCTTGTCTGGGAAGCCGCATGACTACGCGGCTGAATCTGGAAAAACCACAGGAAACCCAATGCCACGCAGCTCTGGAGCCAGAAGGTTTAGTGGTTTAGGGTTTAGGGTTTATTTAATTTATTTTTCCCAGAGGGTCCACATATACTGCCGTTGTGGAAATAGGTCCCACAAGACCGTCCTTGTTAGGGTTTTTTGACTCCATACTGGTAGTGTGTATGGGTACTTCTCAAAATAAGGGTCCCTTTCTAGGTCCCCAGAACAGTACGGCACCAGTACAAGAAGGGGCCC